ACGATGAACACTGACCCACTGGAATCATAAGCATAATAAACTCTCTATTAATTAACTTGGTCATGGAGCTATCACAGCAACAGAAAAGTAACTAACATAATTAATTATCAAGTCTCAATGTGAATTATTCTGGGACAAACAGTCCTCTGATCATAAAGTGTTCTGAAGACCCAAAACTGTTTTTGAATACCAATAATAAAAATAATTAATTTTATAGCATCTGAGATGTGAGAAAGGTGGGAAAGGACATTATATACAGAGGAGAAAACCTAATAATAAGAATGGCCTTTCATCAGAAATACTGCATGCCCAAACACAATCTGAATGGGTAAAAAAAAATTTATAAGATAGTTGTTTAAGTGTGGAACTAAAAAGCTGAATTATGGGGGTTTTAATTTGCAGAATGAAAGTATTTAAACACAACAGCACAGATGATACAGGAGGAATGCTTACATTTCTTGCAGTATATGTGACATGGAAAGATTCTTTTTTAAGTTGGCCTAGGATAGCTAAAAGTGTTCTGTGAAGTATCACTTCCCAAACCTGTTAGTTCCAGGATCCATGCAGAACATTACAAAGAAATTCCAGGAACTTTCCAGAGGGGATGTGCTTATGTGGAACACAGATAGGGAATTCTACTAGCCATCCAAAGTTGACTCCACATTGGCAAATCCTTTGGTCTTTGATTTCTTAAACTTCATTGTATATATATTTTTATATAACCTGCTTCAAGTTATTTCTGGAAAAATGTGTTAAAATCGCCTCTTTGTGGAATAATAAAAATATTCTAAAAATATATATATCACATTCCAACTTTGCCTCATTGATAATTGTGATGGTTTAAATGAATGAGAAGGCCCATTTAGGCATGTATTTGAATACATTGCCCCATTTGGTGATGCTGTTTGTGAACATTTGGGAATGGAGCTTTGCTGGGGGAAACACATAAAGGGGTGGGCTTGGAGAGCTCTTCAGCCTTGTCCTATTTTCAGTGCGTCTCTCTCTGCTTCTTGTACCTGCTTGAAGATATAAGCACTCAGCCCTCTGCTCTGGCTGCCTCTTGCCATGCCCCTCTGCCACGATGAACACTGACCCACTGGAATCATAAGCATAATAAACTCTCTATTAATTAACTTGGTCATGGAGCTATCACAGCAACAGAAAAGTAACTAACATAATTAATTATCAAGTCTCAATGTGAATTATTCTGGGACAAACAGTCCTCTGATCATAAAGTGTTCTGAAGACCCAAAACTGTTTTTGAATACCAATAATAAAAATAATTAATTTTATAGCATCTGAGATGTGAGAAAGGTGGGAAAGGACATTATATACAGAGGAGAAAACCTAATAATAAGAATGGCCTTTCATCAGAAATACTGCATGCCCAAACACAATCTGAATGGGTAAAAAAAAATTTATAAGATAGTTGTTTAAGTGTGGAACTAAAAAGCTGAATTATGGGGGTTTTAATTTGCAGAATGAAAGTATTTAAACACAACAGCACAGATGATACAGGAGGAATGCTTACATTTCTTGCAGTATATGTGACATGGAAAGATTCTTTTTTAAGTTGGCCTAGGATAGCTAAAAGTGTTCTGTGAAGTATCACTTCCCAAACCTGTTAGTTCCAGGATCCATGCAGAACATTACAAAGAAATTCCAGGAACTTTCCAGAGGGGATGTGCTTATGTGGAACACAGATAGGGAATTCTACTAGCCATCAAAACAGTGTCAGAGCTGGAGATGTGCTCAGTGATTGAGAGCATTGCTGCTCTTTCAGAGAACTTGGGTTCAGTTCGCAACACCACATGGCAGCTAGCACCTGTCTGTAGTCCAGGTCCAGAGGATCTGATGTCCTCTTCTGGCCTCTGCAAGCACTGAACAACGCTATTGCATGCAGGCAAAACCACATACACATAAAATAAAAATACATGAATCTTTAAAAAAAAAAAAAACCCTTGCACATAAAAAAATAAATAAATAAATCTAAAAACCATTGCCCTTACCCAACATCCTATGGACTCTGGAAAGCTGTTTAAACAACAGTGGCTGTAGGGTACTAAAAAAGAAAATGCTACTTTTATGCCATTATGCATAGTTCTGCAGACTCAGCTCCCTGCAAGGGTCTCTGTGCCAAAGAGTATTAGTTGTCAGCTTGCCACAGCTGGGTGGAGGAAGCCTCAATTGGAGAATTTCCTCCATTGGACTGGCCTATGGCTAGATCTATGGGGTATTTTCTTGACTGTTGGGTGATGTGGGAGGGCCCAGCTCACTTGTGAGTGATGCCACTCCTGGGCAGGTTGTTCTGTGTTCTGGGGCCAGAGGAGGAAGCCAGTACACAACTTTCTTCCATGGTTCAGCTCCTGCCTCCAGGATCCTGCCTTGAGTTCCTACCTTGGGCTCCCTGATGAACTGTGACCTGGGAGATGTAAGCCAAATAAACCTTTCCTCCCAAGTTGGTATTGGTCAGAGTGTTATTTCAAAGCAACTGAAAATGAACTAGAACAGTCTCCTTCAGAGCCCCTGGCCATAATCGGATCTCCCACTGTAGTTTTGGTTGGCTTGGAAACTACCAAGGCTCCGTTAGCATCATGATCATGATGTCCTCCCTGCTTCTGCTTCCCAAGTGCTGAGATTTAACCTTGATGAGATGTAGTTCCTGAAGCCTACCATCAGCCCATCTGCTAGCCTCCTTTGAGATTTTTTTCTTTTTAAATTTAGAACATAAAATATAGAGAAAAAATAAGACTGTCCTGGTCTTAAAATGGACTTTTCTCTGTTTTCTTCCTATACCATTAATATAAATATTTTGGAGATAGTTCTGTGTTTCTTCCAACCACCCAACTTTCCTTCAGAAGTTCCCTGGAGAACAGGAACGTGACTGTATCGGTATTTGAATCCGATGGGAAAAGTGCTGAAAACCCTCAATTCTGCAGAGCACCTCAGTGCTTTGTCTGCTGTTATGAGAGTTATCAAAGTGCAAGCAATTTTCAAAGACCCTGTGCTCTTTTTTGACTAATTAGGCAGAGACTCAGACACAGGAAATTAGTTATAGAGAACACGGATGGCTAGAGTGTGGTCTACTTTGTACTTGGCCCAATACCTTCACCTCTCTGAAGAACAGTTTTCATATTTATTACAAAAATAAGAGGGGCCTGGATAAGTGGTCACAGTTAAAAGCACAACTTCTCCTCCAGAGGACTGTTCTTAGCACCGACACCAGGCAGCTAACAACCACCTGTAATTCCAGCTGTGGTGGATCGACACCCTCTTCTGACTTTCTTTGGCACTCACACACAAACACACACACACACAGGGACGTACTCTCATACAGATGCGCATTTTTAAAAACGTAAAATAAAATCTTTTTAGAAAGAGGATTAATTATTTGTGCTTTTCTTGTCCACAAAGGTATATTACGAAGAGCAAATAAGAAAATGTGTACAAAATCATAGTGTAAATTTACTGGTACAATTGAAATTTCTTTTTAAAAATTAAATAATTTCTGAGAGCCAGTGACTACTCCACTCCTGACTCCCATAGGCTCATAGCAGTCTCAAAACACGAAATGTGCTCAGTCCAACATCAAATGTACAAAAGGATTTACAGTTCCAACACAGTCCAAAATTCTAAAATTTCTTCTGGGTCTCCAGGAAATCTCTTAACTCTGAGTCCTTATAAAATAAAATATAAAAGTTATGTACTTCCAGTATTCAATGGCATAGAGTAAACATTCCAAAAAGAGAGAAGAGAACATACCATTCAATCCCAAGACGTGGGAGGTGGAAGCAGGTGGATATCTATGAGTTCAAGGCCAGTGTGGTCTACATAAGGACACAGGACAGCCAGGGCTACATAGTGAAACCCTGTCTTTTCAAAACAAAAAATTTAAGAAAAAAAGAAGACAAACACCAAACCCTGCAGCCCATGTCTGGCATCAGGGCTGCTGATGGAATCGTATGTGCCCCTATGGGCCTGGGCTGCCCTGTCCTTCCAGCTCTTGCCTGCAGAAGTTGTGGCTTCTCTTACACAAGCTCTCTTGACACCTGTAGGTTTCCTTGGTACATGTCCCACATTTCTGTGATTCCAATATCTGGAAATTAATCCTGAAACTTAAATTTCACCTTCATAACTTCACACAGCCCGAAACTTCATTGAAATACACAGAAAAGTGCACAAAACCTAAGTGCAGCAGTTGGTGAATTTCCAAAAGGTGAACTCAAGTAATTAGCACCCAGATAAGGAAACTGATCATCTCTCACACCTTAGAACCCTCCCTTGGTGGTCCTAACCCCTGACCACCATCTCTCCAAAACAACAAAATAAATCCAAAAATAAAACTAAAATCCTGTTACCCGTATGCTTTGTGGGTGAGGCATGCCTGCTTTTGCACTTCTTTATATCTGAGACAGAGTCAGTATTTGTGGGTTCTTCTTGGTTGAAAAATCACTAGTTTGTTTCTCTAATATAGCGCATTAAATTAACATATATATACATATATGTATATGTATATGTATATATTCTCAAGACTGTTCATATGTCCCTGGGTTGTTTTCTAAGTTAGCCACTATTACTTATATCATACACATCCTCACTGCTGTACATATTTCATGACTGAATCCATGTCACATTTTCGTGTCTATGTACAGGAGCATAATTTTTGGGATACAGAGACGCTCTGCCTTAGCAGATACTGATGAAAGTCTTTTGAAGTTCCACCAGTTTAAGTTCTGGCTGCTACTATGTTCGAATTCCTATGCTCCGTGTTTTTATCAACACTTACCATCCTTGTATTCCTTGCGCAGCTGTGCTGTTTGTGCTACGCTTACAGACACATATGTTCTGACCCACAGCACAAAGTGTCAAGTCCTCCACTCAGAGAGAGGAGCCTTTCAGAGGAGCATTGGCTCTGGAGATCAAAGCCTGGTTTGTCTCTGGCATCAGCCCATCCTATCCTGTCAGAATAATTCACACATTTCTAGATTATTAGGAATCTGACCTGAGATGTGGGACTATTCTCTGAAAGCTAAGCAAATACTGCTCCTATAATCCCCCCTCACAGGGCCGCTCCCCTGCAGCCCTCCTGTGAGCCTGGGTTTGTGCTCAGCTCCCCCTGCAGTTTCCCACACTGTGTCACTCACAGCGCAGTAGTACAGGGCCGAGTCTGACAGCTGCAGTGAGGACTTGTGCAGGTGGAAGGAGTTACTGCTCTTCACAAGCGTGGCGTGAAACCCTCGGTTCTCCGTCCTCTGGTTTTCAGTTGCCGTCTTCAGAAGCAGCTGGAGCCCTTCACTAGGGTATTGGACATACCAGGAGAGGAAAGAAGCGGCGAAAGTGGTCTGATAGGTGCAGTTCAGGATCACAGGCAACCCCTCTGTGAGAGTAACCAGGCCTTCTGTCTGTGCCACTGAGTCTCCATTACTCCTCACTAAAAAAGAGAAAAGAAATAATTGCTTTGCGATATGGGAACGGCTATCGTGACTGTAAGAAAACGACAGCATTAATGCTTAGGGTAAACGATACTTACTGAGCATTAAGAGGAGCACGAGGGCTGAGCCCGTGTCTGGAAACATGTTCATGGGAGAAAGTGATCCTTGATTCTTGCAGGACACCAACACTGACAGAGCTAGTCTCAACTGGATCCTGTTGAAACTCCTCACTCATAATAAGCAAGAAACTGTACAGCAGCTGTCTGGCATGTAAAATCGCCACCTGACAGCCCACCACATGTGAAGAAGCATCGCCCTCTGGTGGATTCTCTCGAAACTGAGCCACAGGGTGTGTGACTGCTTTGTGAATGCCATGAAGTCTTGTCCAGAAGAGATAGGACCTAAACCCCCAATGGATGCCTGAAATCACGAGTGTTTCTGAACTTTCTGCCCACTATAGCATTCAGAGAGAGAGAGAGAGAGAGAGAGAGAGAGAGAGAGAGAGAAAGAGAGAGAGAACGTATAGTCTCCATGTCTATTTCACGTGATACAGAGCACTGAAGACAACATGTGAGCACAAGGCAGAAGGAGAGAAAGAAAAGGGAAAGAGGAAAGAGAGAGGGAGAGGGAGAAAGAGAGAGACAGAGAGAGAGAGAGAAAGAGATACAAACTAACTTTATAACAACCTGCTGTGGCAGTACCTCATCTAGTCCCAGGAGGATTCACTCACTGCAGACACATCTAGTCCAGTCTAATCCATTTCTCTCTCTCTCTCTCTCTCTCTCACTCTCTTGCTCACTCACTCGCTCTCTCTCACTCTCACTCTCTCACTTTCGCTCTCTCACTCAAAAAAAAAAAAACTCTATTCATGGCGGCAGTTATGTAATGACCTTTGCCTCATTGGTAATTCTGGTGGTTTGGATGAGAATGCCCCCTTCTGCTCCATGTATTTGAATGCATTGCCCCAGTTGATGGTGCTATTTGTGGAAGTTTGGGAATGGGGTTTTGCTGTGGGAAACATGTCTCTAGGGTTGGGCTTTGAGAGATCTTCAGCCTTGTCCTATCTCCGGTTTGTCTCTCTCTGCTTCTTGTACCTGCTTGAAGATGTAAGCACTCAGCCCTCTGCCCCGGCTGCCTCTTGCCTCTCTGCCATGATGGATACTTGCCCTCTGGAATCATAAGCACAATAAACTCTTCCATAAGTTCCCTTGTTCGTGGTGATATCACAGCAACAGAAAAGTAACTAACAAAATGATGAGGCCTCGGTGTGAATTATGACAAACAGTCCTCAGACCGTAAAGTGGTCTGAAAAATCAAAACTGTTTCTGAACACCAATAATAAAGATAATGCATTTTAAAACATCTGAGAGATGATGAAGATGAGAAAGGACGTCACACACAGAAGAGCAAATCTGAAAATAGCAACAGACTTTCATCAGAAATATTGCCCATCTAAACGGGTAAAAAAATCTTTAAATGATAGCTGTTTAAATCCAGAACTAAAAAGCTGAGTTATGGGGGTTTTGATGTGCAGAATGAACATGTTTAAGCACAACAGCACAGATGATACAGGAGGGATGCTTCCATTTCTTGCAGTATATGTGAAGTGGAAAGACTCTTTTCAAGTCGGACTATGATAAGTTAAGTGTTCTGTGAAGTATCACTTCCCAAACCTGTTAGTTCCAGGATCCCTGCAGAACATTACAAAGAAATTCCAGGAACTTTCCAGAAGGGATGTGCTTATGTGGAACACAGATAGGGAATTCTACTAGCCATCAAAACAGTGTCAGGGCTGGAGACGTGCTCAGTGATTGAGAGCATTGCTGCTCTTTCAGGGGACCTGGGTTCAATTCCCAGCACCACACGGAAGGTAACAACTGTCTGTACTCCAGGTCCAGAGGATCCGAGGCCATTTTCCAGCCTCTGCAGGCATTTGCACAACACCGGTACATGCAGGCAAAACTAATACACATAAAATAAAAATATATGAATCTTTTTAAACACCCATATACATAAAAATAAATCCAAAAACCAATGCTCTTATCCAACATCCTGTGGACTCTGGAAAGCTATTTAAACAACAGTGGCTGTATGGTACTGAAAAAGAAAATGCTACTTTCATGTCATTATGCATAGTTCTGCAGACTCAGCTGCCCGCAAGGGTCTCTGTGCTGAAGAGTATTAGTTGTCAGCTTGCCACACCTGAGTAAAGGGAGCCTCAGTTGGAGAACTTCCTCCACTGGACTGGCCTGTGGCCGTTTCTATGGGATATGGGCAATGTTCTTGACTGTTGAGTGATGTGGGCGGGTCCAGCCCACTGTGGGCTGTGCCACCCCTAGGAAGATCGTTCTGTATTGTATAACAAAGTAGGCTCAGCATGGGCCAGGGGAGCAAGCCAGTAAGCAGTGTTCCTCCATGGCCTGTGCTTCAGTTCCTGCCTCCAGGATCCTGCCCTGAGTTCCTACCTTGGGCTCCCTGATGAACTGTGACCCAGGAGATGTAAACCTACTAAACCTTTCCTCCTCAAGTTGGTATTGGTCAGAATGTTATGTCACAATAATTGAAAGGAAACTAGAACAGTCTCCCTCAGAGTCCCTGGCCACAATAGGATCTTCCACTGTAGCCCTGGTTGGCTTGGAAACTATGTAGACCTGGCTAGCATCATGATCGTGACGGCCTCCTGCTTCTGCTTCCCCAGTGCTGAGATGAGCCATCGTGCCTAGCTGAGCAGCTTTAATGTTTTAAATTTATGAAAAAGTTTACTTAATTGTGATGAGATGTAGTTCCTGAAGCCTACCGCCAGTCCATCTACTAACCTCCTTTGAGATTTTTTTTCTTTTTCATTTAGAACATAAGATATAGAGAAAAAAATAAGACTGTCCTGATCTTAAAATGGAATTTTCTCTGTCTTCTCCCTATACCATTAATATAAATATTTTGGAGATAGTTCTGTGTTTCCTCCAACCATCCCACTTTCCTTCAGAAGTTCCCTGGAGAACAGGAACGTAGTTCGCTGGTATTTGAGTCCCATGGGAAAAATGCTGAAAACCCTCAGTTCCGCAGAGCACCTCAGTGCTTTGTCTGCTGTTATGACAATTATCAAAGTGCAAGCAATTTTCAAAGACCCTGTGCTCTTTTTTGAGTAATTAGGCAGAGACTCAGACACAGGAAATTAGTTAGAGAACAGGGATGGCTAGAGTGTGGTCTACTTTGTACTTGCCCCAATACTTTCACCTCTCTGAAGAACAGTTTTCGTATTTATTACAAAAATAAGAGGGTCCTGGATAAGTGGTCACAGTTAAAGCATAACTTCTCCTCAAGAGGACTGTTCTTAGCACCGACACCAGGCAGCTAACAACCACCTGTAATTCCAGCTCTCGTGAATCGATACCCTCTTCTGACTCTCTTGAACACACACACACACACACACACACACACACACACACACACAGGTACATACTCACCTACAGATGCACATTTTTTAAAATAAAAGAAATCTTTTTCAAAAGAGGATTATTTCTACTTTGTCTTGTACACGAGAGGAGTAAATGAGAAAATGTGTATGAAAGCATAATGTAAATTTGCTGCTACAATTGAAATGTCTTTTTAAAAATTAAATAATTCGGGCTGGAGAGATGGCTCAGTGGTTAAGAGCACTGACTGCTCTTGCAGAGGACCCGGGTTCAATTCCCAGCACCGACATGACTGCTATGAACCATCTTTAACTCCAGTTCCAGGGGAATCCAAAGCCCTCTTCTGACCTCCGCAGCATTGCACGACACGGTGCACTCACATACATGGAGGCAATACACTCATACACATAAAATAAAAATAATAAATAAAAAATTTAAAAACAATATTAAAAAAAATTAAATAGGTTCTCAGAGCCTGTGACTACTCTTCTCCTGGCTCCCACAGGCTCATAGCAGTCTTAAAACACAGAATGTATTCAGTCCAACATCAAATGCACAAAAGGATTTACAGTTCCAACACAGTCCAAAATTCCAAAGTTTTTCTGAGTCTCTAGGAAATATCTTAACTCTGAGTCCATATAAAATAAAATATAAAAGTTACATACTTCCGGTATTCTATGGCATAGAGTAAACATTCCAAAAAGGAGGGATGAGGACATACCATTCAATCCCAAGACATGGGAGGTGGAAGCAAGTGGATATCTGTGTGTTCGAGGCCAGTGTGGTCTGCATAGAAAGTTCCAGGACAGCCAAGACTACATAATGAAGCCCTGTCTTTAAAAAATAATGAAATAAAAACAAAAAAAGAAGAAGACTTAGAGCCAGCAGGACAAACACCAAACCCTGCAGCCCATGTCTGGCATCAGGGCTGCTGATGGAATCATATGTGCCCCTATGGGCCTGGGCTGCCCTGTCCCTCCAGCTCTTGCCTGCAGAAGTTGTGGCTTCTCTTACACCAGCTCTCTTGACGCCTGTAGGTTTCCTCACTACGTGTCCCACATTTCTGGCATTCCAATATCCTGGAATTTAATCCGGAAACTTAAGTTTCACCTTCATAACGTCACACACAGCCGGAAACTTCATTGAAATACACAGAAAAGTGCACAGAACCTAAGCGCAGCAGTTGGTGAATTTCCAAAAGGTGAAGCAGTGTAATTAGCACCCAGGTAGGGAAACTGATCATCACTCACACCTTAGAACTCTCCCTGTCCCAACCCCTGGCCACCATCTCTCCAAAAAACCAAAATAAATCCAAAACTTAAAGTAAAAACCTGTTACCCGTATGCTGACTTACAGCTTCGTAGGTGAGGCATGCCTGCTTTTGAACTTCTTCATATCTGAGACAGAATCCATTTGTGGGTTCTTCTTGGTTGAAAAGATCACGTTTGTTTCTACAATATAGTGCACTAAATTCACATTATTTGTATGTATATTCTCATGACTGTTCATGGGTCCCTGGCTTGTTTTCTAGTTTAGCCACTATGCCGATACCGTACACATCCTCATTGCCATACACATTTCATGACTGAATGCATGTCACATTTTAGTGTCTAATATAGAAGCATAACTTCTGGGACATAGGGAGTATAGACACTGCCTTCGCAGATACTGATGAAAGGCTATTGGAGTCCCACGAGCATCAGCTCCTGGTGCTACTATTACTATGTGCGAATTCCTGTGCTCCGTGTTCTTATCAACACTTGCCGTCCTCTTATTCTTTGCGCAGCTGTGCTGCTCATGGTGTGCTCACGGACACGAATGTTCTGACCCGCAGCACAAAGCGTCAAGTGGGAATTTTAAGAGAGGTAGCATACTAAGTCTAGTTTCCATTTCCAGGTTCACTACTTCGTTTTCTCGCTTTGGAAACGCTGAGGAAGACGAGGCTGGAGAATTAGGATGATGGGCGACATCAGGGCTTCCAGAGTCCTTCAGGAACAGTGAATATTTTGGCATTGTAGTATTTATACCCAAGAACATCTGGCTCTGATGGGCAATAGTCCTCCTTTCCAGAGCAGAGCAGGCTTTTGCTACGAAGTCAGGAATAAGGGTTTGTAACCGTGAGATTTGGAATGAAGGATGGACCAAACTTCCCAATCTTTTTAATGCTTTCTGAGATGATTTTACTTTAGAACACTTCATATTTTCAGATGATTGGTAAACTTTGAAAACAAAAAGAATATACACCAATGCCTCACTGAGTAATGACAGTGGTTTTGGAAAAAAGAAAAACCAATGGAAGGCAACTATAATGAAGAGGATTAGATAACACATTCTATGCGGTAATCATGAGTAAATAAATAGTGAGTCTGAAAATGTAAACACTCATGAGTAAAATCACCCATTTGTATAAAGCTCCCAATAATTTCCAGTCTCACAAGATTAATAGGTTTGGTTAAGTTGTATTTTTTCAAATACTTTTGTATTCCCTGTAAAACATGCTGCATATTCTACTGTATCTCAATCTAATATTTAGAAATAGATAGGCATGCTTCTAATGAGTGATATTTCTGGACATTATGCATGAACCGAACTAAAGTTTTCTTGCCAGACCCCGACCTGTACTGCCACAGTCCCTGTCCTCCCTCCCTGTCTGGGGTGGAGTCTCACCCCTGGCCCTTCACTTGTGGTTGAGGTTTTTGTGGGACAACTGTAGACATTGCCCTCACTGTGGCACCTCTCAGAGCACAGAAATAGACTGCCGAGTCCTCAACCTCTGTGGCTGTGATGGTGAGCTTGATGGAACTGCCTGACTTCTGGAAGTTCAGAGAATAGCGACCCTCTGATGCATTGTCCTTCTTGAAGGAGTCCTGACGAACAAGGAAAACCATTTCCCCACTTGGTGCTTGTTTGTACCAGAGTAAGCTATAACTAGGCTCACTAGTTTCATACACACAGTCCAAGTTTGCAGCCTCTTTCTCCACCACAGAAATTTCAAAGTGAGCCTGAGTTACCTTCTGTGACATGCTGGATCCTGTGGGAGAGGACAGAAACACATAGAGCCTTTATTTGTAACCATGGGGGCCTAAGGAAGTCATTTATGGCCCAGAGCTCTGCTTTTCCCTCCCATCTGAGCCCCATCAGACAACAACGATCTGTTTTCTCCCATGACTTTAAGGCCTGAAAATAATCTGACCCTGTGCTGGGGAACATCCTTACCAAGGCATATGGAGGCCATGGCTGCCCCCAGGAGCCTGATGATCAGCATAGCCGTAGCTCTTCCCCGAATAAGCTTTCTTAGGTTCTGTCTCAAACCAAGACCTTAACTCTATATTTGCTGCTAAAGCAGAGCAAGTGAAGTTAGTGGGTTGTGTGATGTCTCCGCCCCAACAGGAAATTCAGTGAGAGGACAGCAGGTAGCTGAAATTGCGCAGGTTCTCCTTGTGCTGCCCCGTGCTCACTCTAGACTCTTCTAAGCACCTGAAGAGTCTCACTGGGGTTTTCTGGATGGGGACTCATCTGTGGTAAAATCAAATTAAGTTCAGTTCATTCTCCTTTGATGGAAAATGAAGAATTTATCATTTATCATGAACTATATATAGTAAATACATAGGATGGCATAGTTATGCACATTTGGTCTTGTGTATGCCTCCTCGTCTGTGTGCAAGAGCAAGATGAGTAGTAACCATAGAACTCTGACAATTTAACAGGCAGATAAAAATTAAGTCTTGGTTTTGTTCCTAACTTGACACTCTTAGAATCCAGAAAAATCTTCATGAGAGTACAGGTGGTTACTGAGAGGTATTTCATCATTCTGCCTCAGTCACAAAGTCTTTTGAGAGTGCCACAGGAAGAAACGGACACTTCCCTGAAGAACGCCGACTCTCCTTTGACCAGCACCATCAACTGCCAACAGCTTCTCCCTTGACCTTCGTTCGCGGCACCACTGCGGTAAACTCTTGATAGTTTTAAATTAATAAAACATATTCCACTCCACTAAGTACAGGTCAATAAGAGGTCATGTACTTACAGTACAAATAGGCTTATTTTTTGAAACTGCTTTACTGTTCTTAAATCAGTGTTTTAACACCAGAGAAGGTGATACCCTCATGGTCTTTCTTCTCCCAAGCCCTGTATTCTATTGTATAGCAATTTTAGGCTGACAACAGAAGTGAATGAAGAGAAGGTACTGAGATTTCCCAAATACTTCCTTCCCTATACATGCATAGCCTCTCCCTTTATCAATGTCCTACACCCAAGGGACACACATGCTCGTGTTCATAGTCTTGGTCCTGGGTATTCTCTAGTTTAGGTGAACATAGTGACAAGTACTCATCCTTAAAGTAGTAGAGAGAGGAGTTTGGTGGCTCTAATGATCTATAGTTAGATAGTAGTTAGTCATGGTTGGGCAACTGTAAAGAGACTACAGTGATGAATACTATAGCATACAAATTATATCTCAATAAACAGTCACTTAAAAATAGCTGGGGCTTCTTCCAAGCTGAGTCGAGAAACTATCGGCAGCTGGTCACTGCTGCGTGAGGAAGAGTTGACTCCAATCAGAAAATTGTATCTGCCTCCTGAGTGCTGGGATGATAGGTATGTGCTCCTACACCTGGATTGAAAGCTATCTCAGTGCTTGGAAATGTGTATGAGCAACACTACATGATGAAACAGAACATAAAACTGTACTTTTAAATGGAGTACAGGGCGGCTGGAGAGATGCTTTAGTGGTTAAAAACATTGGCTGCTCTTCCAAAGGACCCAGGTTTGGTTCCCAGCATCCACACGTGGGTTAACAACCATTTGGTACCTCAGTTCTAGGGGATTCAATACCCTTCTGGCCTCCATGGGTACAGCACATACATGGTGCACTGACATTCAGGCAAAACACTCATACACAGAAAGAATAAAAAAAAATATTTTTAATCGTGAAAACAAGACTCCAAGCAGAAGGAAAAGAGCAGAAAGGTGCTGAGTTAGGAGTAAGCAAGGCAAATTTACGTAGCTGGAATGTGACTGTGGCTAGACGGTCACTAATGGCTTACCACATCAGAGGCTGGCTTCGAACTCCCAGTGATCTACCTGTCTCTGCCTTCCAAGTGCTGGGACTAAAGTGTGTGCCACCAGGCCCAGCCTGGATTTGGGTTTTGGTTGTTTGTTTTTAACTTATTTTTTTTTAATTTTATGCGTATGAGTGTATTGTCTGCATGTATGTGAGTGCACCCATCATGCAATGCCACGGAGGTCAGAAGAGAGCTTCGAATTCCCCTAGAACTGGAGTTAAGGACGGTGGTTCGTAGCAGCCATTTGGGTGCTGGCAATCAAATCCAGGTCCTCCGCAAGAGCAGTGAGTGCTCTTAACTGCTAAGCCATCTCTCCGGCTCCTGGGTTTTTATTTATTTTCTGCAGTACTAGGAACCAAACCCAGGGCCTTGTGCGTGCTAGGCTCTACCACTGAGCTACATTTTATTTTATTACATTTATTTATATATTTATGTATGTCTGTGCGTGCCACGGCACACATGTGGAGGTCAGAGGACAGCCTGCAGAAGTTCTTCTCGCCTTCCACCATGTGGGCTCCAGGGACTGAACTCAGGTTATCAGATTTGGTGGCAAGTGCCTTTACCACTGAGCCATCTCACTGGCCCTGATTTATATTTTTAAATTTGCATGGGCTGGAGAGATGGCTCAGTGGTTAAGAACACTGGCTGTTCTTACAGAAGACCCGAGTTCAAATCCCAGCACCCACATGGCAGCCAACAACTGTTGGTAACTCCAGTTCCAGGGGATCTGACAGCCTCTTCTGTCCTCCACAGGCATTGCACAACACAGGCGCACTTACCTACACGCAGGCAATACATGCATACACATAAAATACAAATAATTTTTAAAAAATTGCACTCAGAGTGCAGAGAGGATTACAAAGTCAATGTAGAGCTGCTAGGCCAGTACAGAAACTGATGCACTGGATTAGTTGGTGGTATGGACTTTGGTGATATCTAGGTCAAAAAAAGAAAGTTATAAACTTTTAAAAGAATGTTACCAAATAAAAACAAAGAAATGGGGATTCACACCAAAATAGGACTGATATATAATTTAAAAAAAAAATTTTGGTCTTTTTTGAGACAGGGACTCCCTGCAGCCCCACGTGGCCTGGAACTCACCAAGTAGACAGGCTGACTTTGAACTCACAGAGATCCACCTGCCTCTGCCTCTGGAGTGCTGGGATTAAAGGCGTGCGCCACCACGCCCGACTTGATATATAATATTTATATATTCTGTACATTTCTTATCCTAAAACAACTGAGATTTAGTACCCAGTTTCCTTGGAGAAAACAGCTAACAAGAACATAGTCTTTCATATCTGTCCCTAAAATTCACCATTATGGTCCTTCAATAACTTCCTCTAAGTTGAGGCACAGACCCTGGGACTCCATCAGATAATTTCCTTAAGCATAATGTTAGGTCACAGTAAAAAGAATCAGTATTTCAAGAGTGAGAGTGAGTGAGCTAGGGTTGAGACAATGAATAGGATTCGTAGAGCACCCTCTGAGACAGTTTTCCTAAGAACAGGCCTGTACAACTGTCTACTGGGCAGTATTTACAGAGCGGACACCAGGGGTAGCAAAATCCACTGCTCTTTGCTCCCTCCCAGACAGTAATCACAAGGAGGCTGGCTTCCGGCTTGACTGGAAGGTTGGAAAGAGCTCCATCTCCACGGTTCTGACAGGTCCTTGGATTCCCTGCCCTAGATTCTTTTTTCACACTATGGACTCTTCGAACTTCCAGGACTTAAGTTTCTCTCGTTTTCCAGATCCAACAGAGAAAGGGTGGAGTTTAGCATCCTGAAGTGAGGCTCCAGCATCCCAGCCTCATAGGGCTGCATCCACGGCCAGAGATGTTCTAAACTTCCCTCCAACTTTAGTTCCGCATGCCTGCATGCTCTAAGGACTGTGTGACTTTCCGGTCATCCCCTGAATGTGTAGTCCACCCTTTGGAAGGACCGGCTGTGCTACTGGCAGGGCGTTCCACTGCTGTGCCTGTCTTCTCCCTACTCCCCACCTCCGCCCTCCCCCTCACCCCTGCCCCCCACCCACTCCGGGCCTTCCTTTCCCATCCAGCCCGGGTGGAGGTTACTTGCAGTTTGTTGGTGTGGCTACAACTTTTCTTAACGAGCCTAACCCCGCCTTTGTCTGCCCTGTAAGATATCCGTCCCCAAGGACAAAAGCCCTAGTCGTGGTGGGTCTCTGTCGCCCTGGTCGCCCTGCTACTAGGAAAGTTCTAGCATCCAGCAGCACCCAAGCGTGGGGTCCGACCTGGGAGCTGCTGCTTCCCCTATTTTAGCAGAAGGGAGACAAGGGATGCGTGCAGGAGGAGGTGGCCAGGAAGAACTCAAAAAACGTCTGTGGATCCTATACACGGATCCTGATCCCGAGACCCTGACCCCTCGGCCACACCACTACCACCACCCTCAAGACCTCAGGATTTCGTAATTCCCTCCATGCCCCCACCCGCCCCAAGCGGCACACAGGAGCCCACTGTGGTACCCTGGACGCCCTCCCCCTCCCCCCTGCCCCCCACCCACTCCGGGCCTTCCTTTCCCATCCAGCCCGGGTGGAGGTTACTTGCAGTTTGTTGGTGTGGCTACAACTTTTCTTAACGAGCCTAACCCCGCCTTTGTCTGCCCTGTAAGATATCCGTCCCCAAGGACAAAAGCCCTAGTGGTGGTGGGTCTCTGTCGCCCTGGTCGCCCTGCTACTAGGAAAGTTCTAGCATCCAGCAGCACCCAAGCGTGGGGTCCTACCTGGGAGCTGCTGCCTCCCCTATTTTAGCAGAAGGGAGACAAGGGATGCGTGCAGGAGGAGGTGGCCAGGAAGAACTCAAAAAACGTCTGTGGATCCTATACACGGATCCTGATCCCGAGACCCTGACCCCTCGGCCACACCACTACCACCACCCTCAAGACCTCAGGATTTCGTAATTCCCTCCATGCCCCCACCCGCCCCAAGCGGCACACAGGAGCCCACTGTGGTACCCTGGAGGATGGAGGATCACAGCCCATGGAAATGGAAGGGAGAGGAGAAGGACCGGCAGACGCCAGGGCTTGGGGGAACCCGCTGGTTTCTCGGCCCTCCGCTCCATCTACAGGCAACCAGAGCGTGCCGGTCCTTCTGAGCTCCAGGACCTTCCGAAGCCTGGCGACGGAGGGAAGAGCCGCACGCCTGGAGATGGAGGAGGGCTTCCGGCTGCCGGACAGCCTCAGTCCTAGGCAGGGGACCCCCGGGAACTCGCGCTCGCCGCTGCGGTAGGGGGATCCAGACAGAGCCCGGCGATGGCGGGAACAGAGGGGCGTTTCGGGATGGGCGGGCCTCCGAGGGTCAGGGTCGCCGCAAGCCGCTGGAGGGCGGGGCGGGGCGGGAAGAGGGTTCGGGCTAGCGGGGCGGAGTGGCTGCGGACGTCGAGGGGAGAGGTCGGGAGCCCTGCGCCGGAGAGGGCGTCTCGGCTCCGGGTCCCGTGCCCAGGTAGGGGCGGGCGCTGCAGGGCGGGGCCGGGCGGCCGTCTCGGCCCTCCCTGGCGGGGCCCCGCGGCCTGGGAGCCCGAGCGGGCTGAGCCGCCGGCTCGGCCCAAGCTGTCCTCCAGCCAGACCCGGCGAGATCCAGCGCCGGGAGGGAGGCGGCGGCTGGCCCGGCCCCGCCCGTCCAGTGTCGGACGCCGCCCGGCGCCGAGCCATGGTGAGTCCCGCGTCGCAGCCCCGGGGCCCCCC